GGTCTTCTTCAATTTACTGCATGGCTTCGCGCTGTTCTGGCTATTGTTGGCACATCTCGACTCAGAATTCCACACGGGGTGTCTCCAAGATTGAGGCTCGGGTGACAAGCCGGTGGCCTGCGAACCAAGAACAAGGTGTTGCAGGAATCCCAGACGGAGCAAACGCTGTGGATTGATGTGGATGACAAATCATGAAAAATCCCATTGAATCCCATTCAACACCAATTCAACATCAGAGTCTAACGTGCTAGTAAACCATAGTAAACCATAGTAAACCATAGTAAACCATAGTAAACCATAGTAAACCATAGTAAACCATAGTAAACCATACTGGTAGTAAACCATAGTAAACCATAGTAAACCATAGTAAACCATAGTAAACCTACCATTTGGATCATTCGAGGATGGTGTTTACAGTGTTTACCACCCATTTGTGAAGATTAGGATGCTGGCATTGGCAGCTGAATCCCACATTCGCATGGCCTGAGGCTCCCGACCTCAAATACGCGTGGCACCTGGGTCACCTGAGGTGGTCAGCCAGAATCCTGCAGATCAGATGCACACATATTAGATCATATTACCCTCTGGTTAATTAACATAGCCATGGTATAGATGGCCCATAGAAATAGATGGTTTACCTATTAAAAAATGTGATTTTCCATGGCTATGTTAAATAGCCAGATGGTAGATCATATTAAATATATTGTAAATATATTAGTGAGATGATGTGGGATGCACATGTCCTGACTGTCAATATCATGTTGTGTACATTGCACCTGAAAGGGTTCGGCTCGAATCGGAACGGTCTCTGCTGAAGTGCTGAGGTGATTTTACACTTTGATCGCTGCGTGAGAGCCACGAATGAGACCATGTCGCCCGACGGCGTCACCGATCAAATATATAGTCAATGGATTGATGAATGTTGATTGTTCGCCATATTTGTATAACAGTGTATATATAGACTGTATATATTATATATATATTATATTATATATGTCTAACTTAGATGTGTGTGTCTCTTGGGTTGCCGCGCACACAAGTGCGCCGTTTGGTGTTTGTTGTGCAGTTTGGTGACCATGTTTAATTATTCTTGGATTCGTTGCCCATCAAAGGATTAACCAGCTCCGGGAACACGAAATTTTCCACCAAAGGTATCATTCAGAATGCCTAAAATGGGGAGATGAGCACATCCATTCATTGTTGTGGTGTTTTCAAACCACGGGCCATGGTTTTGATCCATAACCAGGTGCCCATGGATGATTTTATCATACATGATTACCCTCTGGTAATTTGTTAAATAGCTATTGAAAATGGCCATAGAAATAGTGAGTTTTCCCATCAAAAATGGTGGATCTTTCCATAGTTATGTGGCTGTTTACCAGAGGGTATATGATGGTGATGATCTTTTACTTTCCCATCGGTTCATCCCAGATATCCGGGGAGATCTGGTGGGAATATTGAATTGAAGTGTGCGCCAGTTGACCTGACAACTGATGAATTGATAAGTTATAGAAAAAATGATGAGTTATGGAAACAGTATATGGACCTATAGCTGATTTATTGGTGATGATTCTTATGTATTTATTATCAGTGTTCTTTGGGTTTTCGATTTTTTTGGCTCAGGTTGGAGCTGACCCTGAGGCCTCACAAGGTGGGTTAAAAACCATCAAGAACTAAGTGGAAACCATAATAAATGAATCAATCTGTAGTACCTATATAGTATCATTATAGTACAGTATTAGTATCAATCTGCAGTGTCATCATAGTATCATGGGCTATAGGCTATAGATGGCTATAGACTATAGTATCATGAAATAGTATCTATAGTCTTCAGCACGTCCAATAAAGATCCAATTGATTGAGAACTTTCAGGCCCGTCAATGCCATCATGCCACAGTTGATGGCATCCTCTGCACAGGCTGGAGAGAACAGTACCGTGCTGGTGCCTTTGAAGAAAGGCATCGAGGATCTGTCAGAAAACTCAGGGCCGATCCTGTGAAGATGGGGTTGGTTAAAACCTTTTGGGGCTGGGGATGGTTGAAACATGTTGCAACCTTATGAGTATCATTGTGGATTATAAGGCAAAACCCATGAAAGTTTGACCAGCAGCACATATGCAGAACGGGATGTCACTTGTTTGCCCAGCAAAAATGGAGAGTTTCACCCGTTTTCCTCTCTGGAGGTGAGTCTTTCTCATCTTTTTCAAGCTGAGGCCGGGCGAAACGCTGATTTTTCCATTGGACATCAACCTTGGGTCCAACCGCCAGCAGGGGGAGCCTAGATGCCCAACCCTGGTCGGATCACCAAAGCCGTCTGGAAGATCACGGATTTTCTTAGATTCATTACATGCACGTATGCATGTACGGCATGTACGGCATATACATGCATGTTTGAAGATTTGCACACGCACACAGATATTCATACAGTACATACATTTGCACGCACACACACAGATATAATCATACGCATATATATATATATGCACATATACCTATACATATATACATATATATACACACACATATATATATATATACAGGTCTATATAATATACACATACACGATTTTATATGCCTTCCAAGCATTTTTGCTCCCTTCGTGTTTCCAAGCAAGTCCAACGCTGAGGATCCAGCTGCGCCTTCAAGGCGATCCGGTGCTTTCGTGCAAGGATGAGGCTGGGTCGGATCAGTGGATCAGTGGATCAGTGGATAGATGTGGGTCGTTTATCCATAGTAATACACTGTAGGAATCCATAGGAATTGTCCGAATTATCCATAGTAATTCTATGTATATAATGGTCTGAAGTCTGAATTATCTGATAGTCAGTAGACAACTAGTAGAGTGTTACTGCAGTGTTATCATAATTGTTCGACAATTTATGAGAATTTTCGATGGTTGATGAAGTTGATCGAGTCCATTGCATTTAGGAAAGAACAGCCCGGGGGTGTATTGATCCAGGTTGACACTACCAAAATAATACCAAACATTTTGTGCATCTTGAGCCATACGAAAACAACTTGGAGATTCTTACTTTCTTACTTTCTTTTGTTACTCTTGAAGACCTTTGGTCAGACCTGGTGGTCGTGCATTCCTCCAAGAACCCTTGGTGTCCGTCCCAACTTTGGCATTGGCTTTGTGCAGGATGGGGTTTGCGACGATTTTTCCTCCACTTTCTACACCGCCACTTGGCATAGTCGGAGGTAAGATGTTCCCAAAGTCAATGACAGGGAACGAACAATTGGAGGAAAAATAGGGTTTCATCAGTTTCATCAGTTTCATCAGTTTCAGCCATGGATCATGAGAACTTCCTGGGCTTCCTTTTTTATTCATTTCCATGGCCAACTCTGGAAGATAGATTTTTAGAGACTGCTCTGGAATCGTCGACAATGAAGGCTCCATTGGAATCAAGGGTTCGTACTTGCTCTGTCACTCGCCTTAGAGCTGATGATGGCACATGTATCATCCATTATCATCCTGTTTTCAGGATGTGCCCAAGGAAAAATCTGCAGGACCCCACTTACTTGATGGTAAGCGCATCGTAAAAATCATCATAGAAACCATGAACAATTCACTTAACTCATGGTTTTCTATATGCATCTACACTGTACACGCATCTATCCCTGCAAGGAATCCATAAAAACCGCTAGGGACCAGCACCGAGCCTTCGAGCCCAGCACCTCCCAGGTGGTCAGCGATCCCGCAGTGGTCCGTACGGAGCTGGTGGCGGATCGATGGCTACGGAGCACCTTTGACCTACCGGTGCAGGCCGGGGGGATGGGAAAATGGGGGTGGGTCGTCACCCAACTGGGAACCGAACATGGAGTTTCTCCATGGGAAAATGATGGATGAAAATGGGACATTCCGAATGGTTTTTTTGGAGTGTAAATGCTGGTGGCACGGAATTTCTGATCATCTTGTTTGCTTGGAGATGGGGACTTTGAATTTCGCAGATTTATTTGATATGACTATATTTGATGGGAGTGCGACGGTCGAATGATCTCCAATTTCTTGGTTGATGGTTTGAATATTTTGAATGGGAAAATCGTGACGTGATGCGCGATTACCAGAGGGAAGTGCTTGTTGCTTTCTTCAACCTGTGGTGGACCTAGGACACCTGGAGCCCGGGAGGACTAAAATCAGTGGTGGTTACGGGTATCCTTGAAAATTACACGGCTGGTTGGAATTTGGAGTGTAATAACGTTGCACCCGCACACGGGTCCAGACTCGTATTGGCGGTGGTTGCAACTGGCAATACAATCCCGATGCGCAGGCAGCGCAGGACGAGTATGCAAAGTTTTGGGGGCCCAGAAGGGGTATTGAAGTTAAGAGCATGAATTGTCAACCATCCCAAAATTTACTACTAAATTGGTGGGAATTGTAACCATCAAAATATGGGCGGTTTACTGTGGCTTTGTTAACATTACAATCAACTGACAGCACCCTGCTGACGGGAACATGCTATCGGTATCTATCAGCAGTCACATTTCGCACACGCCCTGTTCTTCATGTTTCCCAGTTTCCCCCTGCGATTTGAAAGTTTCTCCTCTTCTACCACTTGGAGGATAACTAGGGCAACTAGGGTCCCCAATTGTTTGGCATCGGTTTAGCTCCCTATGCTTTTCTTGTGTCCAGAACAGAGAGCCGCTGTGTTCTAGATCTCTTGGGCCCAAGCTTTTCAGCCTTGAAACAGGACCTGGCAACCATACATGCAAATCAAAAACGATTGGCGCCCAAAGGCTAAAATGGAACAGTACAGGTTCCATGATTCTTCAATGCTTTTCTCCCTGCTCTATCGGGGTTGCACCCTCTTCGTTTCAGTATTGTTTTGGTCTTGGCGGCCAAGTGAGTCACCTAGCCAACCACACCCACCGCACCTTCAATTCCCATAGGCTCGCCTGGCTTCCCTACTGGGAAAACATCAGTGCCCCGACGTCCACAGGTCATCATTGACCATCAAAAGGTATATTATTTTCTTGAGGGAATTCTCCACTTCTGCAGAACCTAAATCAAGCGCCTTAGCTTGAAGTGACGCCGTGCATGGGAATGCCATGGGCCTTCCTTTGCATTACGAGGACGTCTTTGGTCTCCGAACTCCGAACAGAGATAGCTTTCAACCGTTCATTACAGTCCCTACTCTGACAGGAGGTTGCGGCAGAACATTTGGCCTTCCAGCAGTCTCTAGCACGAAAGGGTCGCTTGACTCATTTGCGGGTCCTGCGGCGCCGCATTCCTCTGATGGGATCCATTTGGGATGATGAGGAGAGGCTCAGAACCCAGTGAGCTTGGGGTGAGTTGATGTGGGTTTGATGTGCTTCCTGGTTGGTGCTTTCAAGCATGTTCTACTGCATATTCTTTCCCCATTTGGGATGAAGACAACTCCGGATTGACTACATATCTATGAGATGGGTTGCGCATTCCAACTAGCTTCCATGGTGTTTTTCCATTTTTTTTTCCAAACGTCCCCTTTTCAATGGATTGGTTTAAGGCAACATCTACAGGAGCCCAGGGGTTTTATTCCCAAATTCAGGCTTCCAGTGATGGCAGCCGTTGGTAGCCATTCGAGGAGAACACCTACCGCTTTCTGCGGACCGCTGGGTTTTTGAGCCCAGCCTCCTGTTTCAACTCCACAGGTAGGGCACGAAGGTGCACGGCTGGGTGATGTCAATGCAGAATTTCTGTGACTGTTTTTCTGGTTGGCGATCTCATCCCTAGGATTTATACATATAATTACATCACCATACATCACCATTTCTTGTTGCTCTTGTCAAGTGCAACCCAGCGCCCGCTTGCAGGTGCTGCCGGCGCCCTTGGGCAAAGTCCCAACGGTCGTGCTTCGACAGCAGCCGTCCGGCCGAGCTGTGTTGCTACAAGGCGGGCCAGCGTCCTTTTAAGGGGTGGCAGCCTTGGTGCCCCCATTTTTAGTGGGATGAACATCCATTTACCAGCTATTTTGATGTTCACCAGGGGTACAAGGTTTTGACACACTGCCATATGATAATGATGGGATGATGCTTGGGAAGTGTTTTTCTTTTGAAATCTGAACATTTCTAATTCTGCGTTCTAAGTGCTTCATTTTGAACTATAGCCACGTGGGAATGCAGCCCACAGTATACTTGCAACGATAGTATGCATATATGGCAAGTCTTTCTTACAACAAACTAAGCTGCTTGCATAGTCTGATGTTGCTTCCTGACTCCTGGACCTGAGGCCATTGATCTTGGCGAGGTGTATTCAAAATCCCGATCTAACTAGGTAGCACAGGTGCTCCTTTTGAAGTTCCCGTAATGCCCATATTGCATTTTGATCACCCTGATACTCACATCTTTGTTGTTTAAATGATGCATATTTTTCCATATTTTTCCCATTCTACCTGAGATTCCAGCATGCCATGAACATCACCGGCCTAGGAGCAGCACCGGCGCAGTCTCTTCGCTCCCCAAGGGCCCCTCTACGGGGCTGCCGTGAGCCGCGGTGTGGCGGACTGCAGAGCGCTGGCTCACCTGCGGGCTGCAGATGTAGTGGACTGGTTGGAGCAGTTGCTGCTGGGATGGGATGGCTGGGATGCAGGGAATGCTGCCAAAACTGCGAGATATAAAAAATGCGAGATATACTCTCTGGTAAACAAATGGCCATTTAGTTCGTTTATTTACCCATGAAAAAAACATAAAAAACATGTGATTTTCCATACTTATGTTATATAGTTTACCAGAGGGTATTGGATATGGCTCATTTCTGATGTGGGAATTCGAATAATTTCATAGGACTCCGCAGGAAGTTGATGACAGGATCATTTCTGTTATGCTGCTTGATTTTTTGTAGTTTAGGATGGCTCACTGATGCCGTCTTGAGATGCAGTGCGGTGATGTTATTGTGGATGGAAAATACGGCCAAAAACAACATAGAGAAATGCGTTGAGGCAAGCATCTGCTGTGCTTGACTGATTATGCCAGCCTACCCCTCCCAGCAATGGTAACAGAAGATCCAACGGCCAGTTCTCACCTTGGTAGCATGAACACCCAGAACCCATTTTGGTATATTTGGTCCCGGATTTAAATATCAAATATTTGGAGAAATATGGGATAATCCATGACAATCCTAAAATTCTCGGAAAGATAAATATTATATGAATATTTGGATAGGCATCGGACAATCCATGACAATCCTAAAATCTCCCTTCAAATCACCACATTTGGGCCATTTCTCCAGGCTCCAGCTGCCTTGGCATCTCCACGGCCCCTGCCTCACCAGTGCCCTGGCGCGACGCCTCGCCGCAGCGCCGCTGCCGCGCGCGCTGCGCGCGCTGCGACGCCTCGCTGCCGCGCAGCTGGGGCGCCAGGCGCTGAATGCGGCGCGGAGGAATCTGATGTGGTGCCTCGGTACAGGTTTTTGGGAGACTTTCTGTCGTTCGCTTTCTTTTTATGTTTTTTTTTTAAATGGGATTTTGGGGGATTATGTGATAACATCTCATAAGTAATGATATTTCGACTTTTGATTTAGATGCTTTTTGATAATGATCTGTATTTTGATGGTATTTTGAGGATGATGATGATGATGATGATGATGATCTGTATATATCTGTATGTTGATGGTATTTGAACACTAATAATCTGTTCCCCATGACATTGTTGTTTGTTTTGCGTCCTATAACAAGGAAGCATGTGATTCACTCCGCATTGCAGGGATGGGATGATTTTTAGGATGGGAGGACGTGTAGGGAGAATTTTTTGGAACCGAGAATTATATTCAAAAGCCATGACATCTACCCTCTGGTAAACTAACATAGCTATTGAAAATGGCCATTAATAGTGGATTTTCCCATTAAAAATTGTGATTTTCCATAGCTATGTTAGTTTGTTTACCAGAGGGTATGAATCATCTTAAATTCGGAGGGCCTTTCTTTTGAACAAAGAATATAAAGAAGACTCTTCTCATACCCATGAGCACGTCGTTGACTTGCCAAGCATTCAATACTGGACCATCATGGTTCTAGCGTTCTACCCTGAAACATATGGGCTGTGTCAAGGTAGTGTTCAATCTTCCTTTCCATTGTTTATCCACCATCCATTCATCCTTTTTCCATCATTTTACCCTCATTGACCTACAACTTTTGGCAATTTCCACACATACCCTCTGGTAATCGCTGGTGGCGTGCTGAAAAACCCATCCATTCATAGAATATTTTCCCAGCTATAAACCTCCATGGTTCAGGGATTTTCCGGCCAGGTGGAGTGACAAAGTGCCCCTACCCTCCAGTGCCCTGCGGCTGTTGCGCAACGTCACCTTGCGGCTGCGCAGAAGTGACATGGCACCGGCACCGGTGATGCAGCTCCACGTGGCAAAGACTGCGGGGACGATGCCTGGTGAAAACCCATGGGTTTGTAGAAGGTTTAATCGTGAAATGATGGGAATTCTGGGCACATACATGGACACCATCCCATTTACCAGGAATGACACCTCATGGGAATTTCGTATTTTATAAGGTTTCAATATGTTTAACCAGGGGTTTATAGGGTTTAAGAATGGGATTAGTAGTGATGGGGGGTCACTTTACATCCCTTAAATATACGTAGGGACGTAGGGACGTAGGTACGGTATATCCAACTTCAGAAACCTCCAATTGGGGATAGTTTATTGGTGGGGTTTACCAGATGACATATCATTGGTTTTAAACAGTATTTTGATAGGGTTTTCATAGTTTTTTTTTTTTTTAAATATCGGTTTAACCAAGTTTAACCATCACATTCTAGGGATTATAGGGATACACAACCAATTTGTGTGGCATCAGATCCAATGGGATTTCATGGGCTGATACACCAAAAGTTTATATCGTGCTTCGATGGTTGTGGAGTTTCCACTAAAACCTGGGATTTCACCCACCAAAATGAGGGTATTTCACCAACCAGAACAATAGTGGGATATATCGCCAGCAATTTGTTTGCGCCAGCCCGTTGTACATGATACACACATATAGCCACTCTCTATTTACCAAATGAAGGCCCGTTGTACCTGGGGTGTCGGGAGCAAGCCTGATGAAGGGGAATCATTTTTTCCCCATTATTTCATGATTTTCATGCTACTATATTATTTTCTGGTTTGTGAATTGTAGAAATGACATTGTCCATGGATATTCTATGGATGTTAATGGGCTAAATGTCGCCCCCGGCCAGACCGAAAAGACATGTTTTTTTTTTGGGTCAATAGTCGCGTAAGGGATTTTCGAACCTATTTTGTATGTGTTCGTTTGTTTGCTTGTTATTTATTTACTTATTTGTTTATTTATTTATCTATTTTTTTAAATAAATATAATATATATATATGTGTGTGTGTATTTTTATTCATGTATTCATCGCTGCACGCGCGCACACACACACAGATCTTAGATGTATGTGGTCTATTATCTATCTATTTGTTTGTCTGTTTGTTTGTCTGTTTGTTTGTCTGTCTATCTGCCTGTCTATCTGTATGTCTGTCTATCTGTCTATCTGTCTATCTGTCTATCTGCCTATCTGCCTATCTGACTATCTGCCAATCTACCTATCTAGATAATCTAATCTAGTCTAATCTAAACCTTAATCTAATCTAATCTAATCTAATCTATATAAAACTAATCTAGTCTAAATCTAATCTAATATAAATCTAATATAAATCTAATCTAATGTAATCTAATCTAATCTAAAACTAACCTAATCTATCCTATCTATCCATTCATCCATCCATCTATCTATCCATCCATCTATCTATCTATCTATCTACGTACCCGTCTGCCAATCCATCCATCAATCTGCCTATCTATCTAGTTTTTCATTTATTTTTGTATGTACTCTCATGAGCTTTATGTTCTGCAAACTAATTAATTGCACTTTTTGCAGGTTCTAAGGCCAGCTGAGTTAGCTGTGCCAAAATCCCTTTTTCAATGAGAACAGTGGTGGAATTTGCTGATTCCATTTTGGAGGTGGATCGTTCAAAGGAAAGTAGCGATTCTTGGCCCTTGCAGATCGCACCGATGGTTCCAAGGAGCCTCTGTCACTGGGCCAATCGCAGTGGTTTCAGTTCCCTGTTGCCGGTGGGGCTCATGAATCGCTGCCAGCTTTTGGGCGACGGACCCTTTTGGTTTGGAGTCGCTTGGATCAAAACTGGAGGAGATGGCAATGGGTGGCAATGGATGGCACAGGATGGCACAGACATCATTTTTTCAAAGTTTGCAAAGGGCATTCCTTCTTCACCGTCATTCATGGCCTCTTTGGGCATGTGCAGTTCACACACACACATATATATATAATATATATATATATATATACACATAATATACACGCCTTTGGTGACAATCTGATCCTTTGCTATCACCCAGGAACGTGCCTCACCAGCCAGCTGCCCACAGCGTCTGGTTGAGTCACCTGGAATTCTTGGGATGACTTTGGGTTTGGGTGCAGTGAACAACTGCTAAGATGGGATACTGTAGTTCCTGAACTCTCGGAGAGGACGATGGAGAGGAGAGATGGGAAAGTTCCTGGTCTTATTGGGATCTTGTACATATCATACATATCATGTTGCAGCAACTCTCTTTTTGGACCCAAGTGCCGCCAATACCCTCTGGTAAACTAACATAACTATACATAACTATGGAAAATCTATGGAAAATCACCATTTTTAATGGGAAAATCCACTATAAATCACCATTTTCAATAGCTATGTTAGTCATAACCAGAGGGTTTCCCCCAGGCTGGCGGAGAAGAATCTCACCTGGAGCTCCCTGGAACGATGGCTGGATCTACCCCTTTGTCACCGGCTGCGGTATGTCACACTCCTGCGCTGGCCCGTGGCAAGGACGGGGGGAAAGCCTCCTGAGTTGGGGACATACCCTGTTTGGGATGTGTCTAAAAGGCTAGAAAGCAGAGTGGGTCGAGGAACGGCCCATGAGAGTTCCCATTTTGTGAATTTTTTGTGCTTGGTGTATCGTTTTGATCCATTTTTGGTATTCATTCCGGGTCCTGTAGCAGATCTCCATAGTTCAATGATAGGCCCTCAGGGTTGGTCCGGCCCTGGGCTCCAGGACCGTTCACCATTTTATGCATATCATCAGCCTCTCAGCCAGTTGGGGGCTGTGGTTTGAGGCAATGCTAGGGCTTCCCATCCTGTGCAGCTTCACTTCATGACTTACAGGAATGAAAACGGGGACGAATTTCAAGCCTAACATTTTGGCTGCGGGGATGTTCTATGCTTGCTCCCTGCGTTCGGATTCCCGCTTCTCAGGCTAGGATCTTAAGCTCTTATTTATTTTTGGGCATCGTTGATGGTTCACGTGGGGTCCACAAGAATAAATCATCTTCTATTTTCACCCACGTGGGCGTATGATTTTTCAAAATAATGGCAAAGGGAACGTGTACTGGTATGAATGCGCAATAAATAAACCAGAATTTGCGGATAGTTCATTCTTGTGGATCACCCTCTACGGTTCGAATCGGTTCGATGCGGTTTAAATTGTAAAACATGAACCTTTTCCGCTTCGATTATCAATATAGAAACCTCATCCGGTTCCCGGTTCCTGCCGGTTCAAGCTTGGCGATGACTATGATTTTGAACACAGCCCTTTTGTTTGTTATTTTTAATGAGCCCCGCCAACGCGATGCCAATGGGGGAGTTTCTAGTGATGACATAAATACATCATGGGTTACAAAAGCTCAAGATTCAAAAAAAATATCCAAATATAAATATAATTAATATATTTAATATATCTACATATATGTGTATGTGCATTTAAATATATAAATATATATATAATATATATATATAACATATATATATAGTTATATAGTTATATATATATATATATTTGAAAGGATCTATTGTTAGGGGAAAGAGATTGCTCCAAGACCCAGCCGAGAGCAAGTTTACTGTTTTTTACGGGTCTCTTGATACAATTCCGCGTAATCCAGAACCTTTCGTCGGTTCGGTTACCACGGTTCTTGTAGCTGAAAAATGAACCTTTTCCGGTTCGTTTTCGATTTCTACTAATCTAAACCGGTTCGCCGGTTCCCGGTTCGGTTCGCAGCCTCCCTGCTTTAAGTCATCAAAAATCACATGGATGGCATCCAGGCTTCTTCAACTTGGGACGCTACGACCTGCAAGAGGTCTTCAATGTCAGCACGCTTCTGGGAGGCGGCACGGTGGTTGACTGAGCGTGGAAGCCCTAAAACTGGCGCTTGGATAGAGATGACATGAGATGATTTATGATGATTTTAGGGTCTCAAATGTCAAAAAGTGTAACTTCAAGTTGCTTCATTTGACCCAACTTCCTGACATTTCCTGCCCACTTCCATGAGGAAAGAAGTTCTAGGTCTTTCCAGGTCTTGGCAACGTTCCCACCAAGTGCAGGTACCGGTACCAAAATGTCCAGTGGAAAACATGGACAACTATTCAACATATTCAACATATATATATATACATGTAAAATTGTTTTTGGACGCTTTCTTTTCAGATGAATGACCCCAGACCAGATGAATTTATAAAAACATGGCGGGCACGCCAAAATCGTGTATAATGAGAACAACAATCTTCTAAACAATTGGATTTAGGGGTGCCCCAATTTTCACGCACCCCAAATCATACTGTTGGTTATATTATAAATCTTGTTGATTATATTATATGCTCATAGTTACATCCCCAATATCCCCAGAACGCATCCTGATATTGCTGGATATTTCAGGTACCAAATCCAAATCATAGTGGCGTACACCAATTGGTGTTAATAATATTTTTTGTTGGTTACAGTATATAATATGCAGGTTATATATATATAGGCTATATATATATAGAGGTTATCTATATATATATATTTATATATATATAAATAGGTTATATATATAGGTTATATATATATATACATATGTTATAGTTGAATGCCCCAAGCGCCAACCAAGCGAACCGATCGCACATGCGCTTTTTCCACCGGGAACGAGTGCTGGCAGCCACAAAGGCTACGATCCAAATGAATTGGGCACCATGGTACAAGGAAGAAAACAAGGGTTGACCAAAGCTCCATTGCCATACCACTTGGTGAGCGAGTCCGAGATGATGTGATGTCCCGGAACCCACTTGACGAAGGTCTGCGTCTGACCTTCCATCAATGCCTGCTTCAGCACGGCCAGGTCGATCTGGATCTTCCGGTCTGTCGTCTGTGACTCATTCGTGAGAACATCAAAGCCAGTCTTGGCGTCCATCACCAGATAGTGAGGCCACTTGCTTCCCCACAGTTTCCACTTCTTCAAGCAGAAGTCCTTGTGAAGAAGCTCCGACAAAGCTGCTCGCACGAAATCACCGTGCTCAAACGCCGTGGCGGCCATACTCACCTCGGCGCTCATGCTGCACCTCACAATCCTTTGGATCTTCATGCTGGCCGCTTCCACAATGCAAATCTTCGCCTTGCCCTCCAAAATGGAGGCATCAGCCAGGCCCACCACAACTCCTCCTTGGCTATGGCCTCCTGGTTGTCCTCCATAGGAGGCATCGCTGGCTGAAATCACCACGAAGTTGCGCCAGTCATCCAACTTGCGCACCACCTGGATCTGCTCTTGTTTGGCTCTGTAGATCACCTTGTTCAGCCATTCCAGAGCTTCGCGGCCCAACTTCGAAGCGGCCTGTTGCACGTGTGAAACTCCATAGGAGAGGTCGTAGCGACCCTGACGACTCATCCAGTTGAGCTGCCCGATCCATGATGCCATCTCGCGGTGCTCCTCCTGCGTGATGGTATTGTCGGAGGTCTTGCGGATGATCATCTTCTTCAGATTCTTCGCATAGTCATTCATGGTGTACTCAAACTCCAGCGTGTTGACATTCTGCCTCTCCCACCGTCCACAGAACTTCGTCCATCCATCCGTCGCTTTGCGAAGCTTGCCAAATCGCAATCGACGGTGGACTTCATCCCAAATTTGCTGGGAAGTATGGTCCCCAGCATAGCGGGTGTCATCCACATGGATGCATGCTACCGCACGCAAGGTGCCATCATCATGGAAGGCTGCAAACACCCCAGGGAGGAGAGAGAGCTCATTCATGCCACACACCTTCAAAACGTCGCTGTGCTCCAAGTACCACAATCTTGGGCTTTCTGGTAGCCCAAAGCCTCCTTTGGTGAGCTTCAGCAGATCTTGTCGGAACATCTCGCCCAACTTCTCGCGGATGAACGCCTCCACATACTCAGGGTAACCCTTGGGGAGTCTGACGTAGACCTCTCGTTCAGGAGGAAGATGTTTTCCCTGGAGGAATGCGCTTGACACATCTTCATAGTGCACAATCCATCCCATTTGAACACTGACCCAATTGATCAGGTTGTGAGCCAACAAGGCTGCTGTTGGGGCCATGGTGGTGTATCGGCCCATGTCGGGATCCTTGTGCCCTCCCAAAACCAAACTTTCAGCTCGGCCTCCGCCAAATCATAGCCACCCTTGTTGGTGAGGACAAACCTTGATGACAAGATTCGCTTGGGATCCACGTATTTGTCTTTGGGCACACCTTCCAGAGCGTCATGGTCAAAGTAAATCTGGATGGCCTTCAAGATCGGATCCTTGAAGGCAGCACGCCATCGCTCATCCAGTTTCTGCCATTGCATTTCCACTCTGGCTTTGCCCGTGAGAATCTGGCTTCTCACCACGTCGGCACCGTGCTCGATGTCGCGTGTCTCAATCTGCTCCTGGATCTCCTTCACCGCCTGCTCTTCAATCTCTGGCTTTGCCCAAAAAGCCTCTTGCAATTCCATCTCCTGACTGGTTTCTGTCCACACCTTCTCACACTGCTGATCCACACTTTCAGCATACATCACCAAGCTAGACGCCATCTGTCGGTCTGATCGTCGACGGCGAGCTTCTTGTTGGAGTTGTCCTTGACGTGATTTTCGGATCATCTTCTTGATGCTCTTGAGCTGTGAACTTGCCGTAGCCATGCCACTTCTGAGCCTCGCCTCTGTCAACTTGGAGGGAACTCCCTTGCCACTCTTGGAAATCTCCTCAAAGAGTTGCTTCTTTTGTTGGAACCCCATCTCACTTGGTTCGGGCCCACCTTCTTCAGCCATGGGAGCATCTGATTCCACTGCTGAATCATCAGGAAGTGGTGCCATCCCATCATCTTCTTCCAACAGTTCGGCGCGCTCCTCAGGTTGCAGCCCTCTCACAAGCGCCACGCTGGTGGCATTACTGCCACTGCTTGATGACAACGCCCTTCTCACAGAATCCTGCAAGTCATTCTGGATCTCCAACCGTCGCACTTGACGAGCACGTAGGGCTGCCTCTTGATCGTCCAACATGAAGTCTCGATCCATGTTGCTCCCACGTCGCTGAGCTCCTGCTGGTGCTGGAGGTGCTGGTCGCAAGGTTGCCTCACGGCGATTCTCCTCCAAAGGAAGTTTTCCATCCTTGATCTCCCCCATCACCTCGTTCATGGCCTGTATGACGTATTGAGAGCCCAGCATCTCATCTGGAGTGGCCAGACGAATCTTCTCCAGAGGAAAGCTTCTCACCTTGGCACGAAGTCGCACCCACACTCGCCGTGGAGCTCCGTCTTGCTTCTCCACACACACCATCAAACCAGGTCCATCCCAGCTCGAGTGATCTTGTAGGCGGCGATGTTGGCCACGTCGGGATGGTGGGGGCTCGTGCACATACACCGTCATGCCTTCTTGGAGGTTCTCAAGTTTGGGCGGCCGTGACCTGCAATTCAATGCCTTTCTCAAAGCCTCAGAAGAGTCCACCCAATTGAAGCTGTCCACTGCTGCAGCTCTAATTCGTTCTGCCCGTCGAAGTGCTTCGTTCACCTGCAACTCATCATTGATAGTGCACTTCACCTGTCCGCTGCACAATTGCTCCAAAATGGAGGTAGGGACGGCTGTGTTGCGTCCTGTCACCGCCTGCAAAGGTGACAATCCCATGCGGTTGCGCAGGCGATTCTTGGCATTGAAGCAGCTGGTCGCCACCAACTTCTTCAAGGCCCTCAATCTGATGGGTGAGGATGACTCTCATCATCATCAACTTGATCACCGCCCCATGTCGCTCCACTTGTCCCTGTCTCCATTTTGCTCCAGGCGGCACGACCTCATGTCTGAAGCCCAAAAGACGTGAAAGGCGGTGCACCACATCTTCAAACTCTTTTCCTCCATCTGTTTGAAGAACTTCAGGCGCTCCCAGAATGCCGCACCACTTGTTTTGCAGCAGATCAGCCGTGATCTCAGCGCCCACCTGTTTGCTCACATTGCCAGTGTGGAACTCGGTCAGGCCGCCAATCAAATGAGTGACATCGAAGCGCTCACCCTTCGAGTCCCAGATGAAGAAGGAATCGGCCAACACCTTTTCCCCAAACCTCGTAGGTCGATGCGCCGACACCTTTGGCTCTGCTCCAGGAGGTCGCACTGCTTGGCAGATTTGACAACGTAGCCCCTTCACCATCTCAATGATCTTCGGGCTAGTGCCACTGACAAGAAGCATCCGCACAAGTCTCTCCTGTGATGGATGGCCCAGCACCACATGCAAATGTGCTAGGGCCTGTCGAATTTTGTGAGGCCCTTGACGTGCTAGTCCTTCAAAGAACACATAGTCATATTGCCCCCCACGCCAATCGGCCTTCTCCAGCTGTTTCCTCAGCTCGCCCTCGGGCGTAGGGAAAGGTTCCACCGGCATGACGTAGTGCGACTTGCCAGGCTCTCTAGACTCAGTGAGCTTGCGTGGTGCCTGCGCATCACAATTTTCCCACGCCTTCTCAGCTGCTTGAAGGATGTGCTCGCACAACTCAGGTGGCCACTTGGATGCCAATGCCGATCTTCTTTGCCATCTGCCCTCATAGTAGACGTTGCCCTCGATCGGCTGGTGCTCCTCAGGAGTATGGTTGCACACCGCATTCACCAGTAGTGCCTCACACATGTCCTCATCATTGACATCGAAGGCCGTGTACTTCTGGTGAGGCTTGCCACTGATGACATCCTTCAGGCCAAAGGCGCATTGAGGAACCTTAGCACGATGAAGATGAGGTCGTTCCATCATGAAGTCCATTGTCAGCGCCGCCGATTGGAAAGGGTTCTCTGTGAGAGCCAATCTTCCATGCTTGTCCTGCTCGTCCCAAACCTCTCGGCAAAACCTCCACAAGGGGATGTCAGCTTGTCGATCTTCCATCACCTTGTCCACATTGGGCTTGATGCGCTGTAGCTGCGACCAAGGTCCACATCGAGGGCTCATGGTCACCAGATCAGGTTTCATGATCTGAATTGACTTCAGCACCTGCTTTCTGGTGGCTGCATTGCGCAAGTCCTGCCCATAGATGATGGTTAATCTAAAGGTCCTTGTAAGGAGTTTTAATTGCGAAAGCCGTGCATGTTATGTTGGAAACCCTCGCGAAAGTTTTTTTTCGAGTTCGCGAAAGTAAAATTTTATTTCGCGAAAGTTTCGCGAAAGTTGGGTATTATAATCATTATATGTAAAGGGCTGCCACCCACTGCCGCCCGGGGTCCGGCAGGAGAAGGGCACCAGAGAATGCGAGTAGCAGTAGCCAAGTTTCCAAAAGTGAGGCTTTGCGAGAGCCAAACACCAAGGCCCCTGGTCTTCGCTTTTCCTTCAGTGCACCTGCTGATGGCCGGGGTCTGTGAATAGGGATATTTTCGCGAAAGTTCCGCGAAAGTTATGCGAAAGAGCGGGCGAAAGTCAAAGTGCATGTTGAAGGGGGTGGGCCAGTAAACTTTGCAAAAAAAAATCTGTCCTGAGAAGGGATTCCGTGATGCTAGCTGCATGTTTAAAAGGCTACCAAGAAGTGATCCGTGATTCTCTGGCGTAATTTGGCAGGTGGTGAACGAATCTTCATAAGAGGTGTTGTTGGCCAACATGGGCCCCGCGAAAGATAAACATGGAGTTCGCGAAAGTTTCGCGAAAGTAAAATTTTTATTCGCGAAGAATGGCCGTTCCGGGATAAAGGAATTTTGATCAACAACCAGATGAGGTCCACCGGGTCCATCGTCTCCCAGCCATCTCGTGAGCGTGCCATTGATGTCAACCTCGCACATCCAGCAAAGAGCTCGAGGACCAAGTAGTGCTCTCGCATGTACTGCATCTTGGTCACTGCCACATGCCTCTGCTTGGCCTCCGTCACTGCTTGTTTGAACCTCTGGATGAGGCCCCTCTGGGGGATGACTCGCGTCCATGACCCTGGGCGTGGAAGTCCGTGTTCCGAAGCCGCTGTCTCATCGCCCCGAAGTGACCCCACAGTGACGCCACTTCGTAGCTCAGAAGGAGGCTCAGCCACCTCGGATTCCTCTTCCATGAAGCCTTCCCCTTCGACTCGATCTGCACCGCCATCTTCACCCTCAGCTGCCACACCAGCTTCTTCCATAAGTACGTCCTCAGCCGGCTGCAAGTGCTCCTCATCACATTGCAGGCCAGATCGTCGCTGAAGACATTGCTCAGAGAGGGATACTTCGCCTCCCAACCCGTGAGCGCCTGTGTGGCCAGGCGTTGTTGTGCTGCGGCTTGCTGCTTCTCGCGTCTCTTGCAGATCATCTTCATCTCTTCCATGGTAAGGCCTTGAATGTTGGAGCTCTCCACCAACTCCACACTCTCGTCCTCGTCCTCTGACGGAGGAAGACCCCGTTGTAATCGGACTGGCTGTTTCCGTTTTGGTGCTGGAGTCGCCTTCGGAGTTCCTCGAAGGGCTTCTGCACGGGCTGCGGCTCCTCGATCTCGCCGTTTCGGCTCCACGTCCATGTTCTGTGGGGCTTGCTTCCGAGTGCACTCTCGGGGGTCGCTCAATCTCACTGCCTCCTCCTGCTGAGCCCCCAGAAGGTCCTCCGGTATGGTCATGACGAAGCTCTCCTCGTCGTCGGACATCTCCGGACATTGATTCGTCCGATGACCCACTACTCCGCAAAGGCGGCATTGCGGGGGATTCACGAGCGGCGTGGCCATCAAGTGGTGCACGAGGGCGACACTCTCGAGCCAGCTTCAAGCCAAAAACCTCGCGGTCATTCGAGTCAACCGACATGGTGAACATGTCCTCCAAATCTGAATCCATCACAAAATCTTGAGGAACATGCCATACGTCATCTAGTAGGTGAAATTCATCAATCCTCATGGTGTAGTGACCTGCCTGAGTTTCTTGAAGTCCATAGTTCTTCACCTTCAACTTCCTAGATGACAAAGTATGTTGTGATGTGTCCAATTGCACGCCCAAAATGGTGTGGGACTGCTTTGAAAGCAAAGGAGGACAAGGACCGCCGACTACACTGAATGCCAAACAGATACGTTTTCCTCCAAAAGTGGCTTCAAGCTGCAAACGGTACTTACTCTTGAGGGTGTTGCCATCACCAAAACGGAATACTTCTTCCTCAGGCAAAACTTTGAACCATCGGTTGTGATGTTGCCACTCCTGCACTACATCGTTAGCCCACTGCACACCCACCACATTTCGCATGCACCCCAAATCCAAAATGACCTTCCTTGACAACTCCTTCATATTCCACCAGGTCTCAAAAGGATTCATAGTGGAGGAAGCATTTGACTTTGGGGATACCTTGATTCCACCCGCATTGCACCCCATCAGCACCATGTATGCTCCAGACGCAGGCAAATCCGTCGCATGTTGGCTGCGACAAAGTTCTTCCAAAAGACCCCATTCATGATCCTCCTGAGCATGCCCTTTGGCTGCGGAGGTCGTCACCAAAACAGGGTTCGTGGCCAAGGCTGCTTTGACCTTTGGGCAGTCGCGGGCGTAGTGACCCGCCTCATCGCACACAAAGCATTTTCCTCCTTTGTTGCCCTTCTTGGAATCGCTCTCTGAACGGCGATAAAAGTTTCGCAACTTCTTGACCTCAGCCATCTTCTGCTTGGCCTTGTACTGCAAGGCCAGCGCCTCATGCTCAGCGTGCAAGACATCCATGGGTGCCCCTTCCAACTCCTCACAACTTTCATCGCCAGGAGCTTCTTCTGGTAGGCCTTCACGGGAGGCACTTGTGGCTGCCTCCACATCCGCCATCTCAGCCAGAAGGGCCGGCTTGTCTTTCTTGTAGCGAAAACCCATCACCCCGTCACCCCTCGCTGCACCAAATGCTCTTCTCCTTGATTGCCGCTCACCTGTGCCTCTGCCTGGCCGATGGGGAAGCCCTGCTCGCCCTCCAGCTCCGAGGATAGCTCCATCATAGCCCCTGTGATCGCCACCTCATCCTCCTTCACAGCATGTGTTTTGATCATGGCTTTGTCCCTCCTGGTAAGGCGAGCATGATCCAAAAGATGGCCCACAAAGAAACGTTCACCCATGGTCAACGAAGCGTCCAGGCCTTGTAGTTGATCTCGGTAAAGGCCAGCCCTGGTGATGTAACTTTCCAAACTCTCACCTGCCAATCTTGTCAAATTCAACAGCCTCTTCCGATGCCAATCTACTCGATGCTTTTCACTCAATCTCACAATTGGTGATTGCTCCAAAGTCTCGAAGATCTTGTCTAGACCCTCCTTGCAGTTCACATGTTCCGGCTCCAAGTGCTTCACCAATTGAGCTGCACGGTCTCTAAGCTGAACCATGACCCTCGGGCCAATCAAAGCGACTGGTAGTTGATGACCTTCTCCATGAAGCCAGAAACGTACGGCTCTTTTCCAATCCCGGTGATTTTCACCTTGGCGAGCTCTAAACACTGGGGGATAGGAGTTCGAAGGCTTCCCTGTCAATTTCTTTTCCTCCTCCTTGTCAGCCTTGTCATGGACGCTGACAACGTTGCCACTGGGAAGCTCACCCTTTGGTCCATCATCGCCCTCGGATTCTCCCTGATGTCCTTCTCGATCACTTCCACGGCGTTCAGGTTCTCCCAAACGATGTACTTGTCCAGAATCTCGAGAATGATGGCCTTCTTCATGCCAGCGATGCCACGGATCTGACCGATCCCACCCTGGCCACTCACGTCGTGTGACATACGTCCAGTTCTCCCTGCTATCACTTGAAGAGTTCCCCCATGACCCATATGACCAACGGTCATCAGTCCTCCACCACGACACATTGGAAGAGTCATAGGAAGCATTGGACGCTATGTCATAGTTCTCCACCTCAGCTCGTTGATCCCCACGGCTCCTATGGCTGCCCCAGCTCCGGTTCGCCCAGCCTGAACTGTCGCTCACTTCAGCCCCTTCCGCAGGACCCTCAAAGCTCTCGACTCCATACCGTAGTTCTCCCATTGACCCCCATAGTAAGAGCTCATGCCAGCTCTGTTCCCAGTTGCCCAAGCCCTTGCCGAAGGTCTCGATCACCTAGACCGCAAAGACCTCTTCCAAGTCACGGGCAGTGATTGCCCACTCCCAGTCCAAAGGTCCCTGGATTTCCACCAAAGCTCCGGTGCCAGTTGAATGCCCCAAGCGCCAACCAAGCGAACCGATCGCACATGCGCTTTTTCCACCGGGAACGAGTGCTGGCAGCCACAAAGGCTACGATCCAAATGAATTGGGCACCATGGTACAAGGAAGAAAACAAGGGTTGATATGTGCATTGTTTTCACAGTTATATATATATAACCTCTATATATATATAACCTATATATATACATATATATATATAGGTTATATATATATAGAGGTTATATATATAGCTTATATATCGATGTTTTATATAAAACATATTAATACCCACATAAGATATCCCCAAATTTGATGAAGAAAACCTCTCCACTGAGAGCGCCAGCCTCACAGGTGGATTCTTCACCAGGCTCTTGCGGCTGGATGGACCGAAACCCGGCTGAAGATACATGTAAATAACACGGCACAGAGAGAGAGAGAGAGATAGAATAGATAGATAGATAGATAGATAGATAGATAAGATTAGATTAGATTAGATTAGATTAGATTAGATTAGATTAGATCAGATTAGATTAGATTAGATTAGATTAGATTAGATTAGATAGATAGATAGATAGATAGATAGATATATGTACATATACGTACAACTGTAACAAATTGTATGTTGAAACCGGTCTACTATATCCGTCTATAGACATCCGGATACATGTTTGGAGCATACCAACTGTCAATATGAGGAACTTGGACCCCTTGGGGGACGAATGTCAGCAGGCAGCTTTGCCTGCGGGTGAGGGTGAAAACGCGGATGATCCTTGAAGTTTCTACGTGGCGGGAAATTGAGTCGTGACTGAGCTATAAAACCCCACACCCCCATGACAGCTGTGTCCGGTTATATCTAACATTATCTAACCATGTACCGACCCTGAGTTGTACTCTAGTTGGGGGATGATGACTGCACCCAAGTCTTTGCATGCAAGAACGCTGGCACACTCGCAGTTCTGAGGCAATTCCTAGAGCAAGGACATCAAGGGGGAGGCACCAGCTTGATGGGAAACTTATGGAAACTTGAGGGGTGGTGCACATCCGAACCATGACAGGACAGAGTCATCCCAAAAGGCCCACAGATTGGCAGTTTTATTTTCATAACTTTGATGTGCTTCGGCTTGAAACTTGTTTCAGACTTCAATTGCCAGTGCTACTGAACCTGCACGATCATGAATCATGATTGATACTGTCCGCATCACTTTGGATCAGTGACCACCACGTCACAAGGACACCTCGCATAACACGTGCGAGGGGCGCCATCCGTGCTGCCGCCATGTTGGCTGGTTACGATGGTCGGCAGTTGCAAGGCTCCGGCTACTTCCCCGTGACCAGGACGCCGGTCATGACGCCGGTCACGCCGGCCCGGACGCCAATGATGCCGGGCCAGAACGCGAGGGCACCTGCCATGGCACCTGCCATGACACCTGCCATGGCACCCATTGCGGTGTCCTCGTCCCCTTTGATGGCCATGAGACCCATCCGGCGCATGTCGGCGCCTGCACTGCCGCAGATGCCGGCGCCAAGCTATGCCTTGACGGGGTCTCTGGTAGTACCGCAGGGGCCTGGATGGCAAGGGCCACCAGGACCACAACTAGGTCCAGGTGGCCAAGACCTTCCGGATTCAGTGCCTGGACCACCCATTCCAGTCTATGCACCCACCCAGATACATGAGAGAAATTCGGTCATTGTCAATCCAAACTCGATCATTCCCGATGCGGATGGAGAGGCCATAGCAGAAACCTTCCAGTTGGGGGATGCTCAGCTTTGAAAGAGACATGTATGTTGCCTCTTATTTATCCATGTTTATCCATGTTTAAATCCAAGTCCTCCTGTGTATCCCCAAAAATGCAGGGGAATGACAAGCTCGAACATTTGCGCATTTTTCTCGGATGCAAGATTCCAAAGAACAAGGGGCTGGAAAAAACATCTGCTGTTGATTTCTGTCGTGCAGGACTGTTCGGCCAGTCATGGAATTTCATTCGCTCCGTTTGGCTCCTACTCCTACCTGTTTATTTGCCATACATCATGCGGGGCACACCAGACCTTGAAATACCTTGAATACATCTGGTTCTATTCAAAGGAGAATGGTGAGCAATTTATTCGCTTGAAAACAAAGTGGATTTCCAAGGGAAAGTCCCACATTTGGGTACAATTCACTGAAGTGAAGGGCCTTTTTTTCAGCTCATTACCCCCCGAAGTCTTTTAAGTGCACCTACCCAGCGGACTGCAGCCGAGGATGAGGCATCCAACATCTATGGTACCTGGCGCATTCCCTGGGGACCAAACAGTTGGAGTAAGCCCCAGGAAAGAATCGAGCAAGAACCGGAGCCAGAAGTGCCTGACAACCAGATGTTGGTGGATATGGCGGATGCAGTATCACCGTCATGGAAGGCCCTTATGCACCTGTGAGACTTGTGAGACTGTGCAAAGTTGATGTTGCTTGATGGTCTTGATGGGCTTAAGAAGGGGGGTTACTGGGCCAACCCCCATCCGAAGGCCATCCACCTCATCCCCAACCCCCATCCCCAACCCATCCCCAACCCTGTCCTGGTGTATGATATAAGGACTACACAAGAACCAAGGGCTTTTGATGGGACTCCTTGCCGAAATCAACCTGCCAGGAGCAGCAAAACATTGCCCGTCAGGAGCAGCAATTCATTGCCCTCTTGGATGCTCGGCTGATGCTCAGTCCGGTGGTTGGCGTTGCAGAAAGTGTCATGGCCCAGTGATCCACCCCAAGAGATTTTTCTGGCTTTATGGCACTTTGTGGGCTTACAGTAAGTAAAGTGTGTCCACAGCACCTTCTGCTCCAGTGGAATATGATGGAATCTGTGCTTCCCCCCTGTCCAAAACTGCTTCCAAGACTGCTCCAGTTAGCTGTCCCTGCAGCCAGGATAGCTTGGAAACGCGAGTGGATCTCATGTCCCAGATGCAGGAAACCCGCAATGCCATCAGCCAAATGCCCACTTCACCCGCTTCACCCTATCCCTCACCGCAGAAGTCATCGCCAGTGGGCGATTTGCTCGACATTACACAAAAGATGAGTCCGGAATACCCTGACTTTAGTGAGCTCAGCACCAATCTGCATCCAGCAGATTGGGTGGCCCCTAGGCTGGTCATGCCATTCACTCGTGACCTTTGCGGCACGAACCTGCAGATTTCGGAAGAGGGCTATCGCGCAGCGCGCATTCGCGGCTGTAGGCAGTCCGTGGCAATTGGCTCTGCGCCACTGATACTGGTCTGATGTGTGGAATGTGGATCACATGACAACTGGCTTACAAGCTATGTGATTATATTATATATCCTGAAGTTATATATAATACTGAAGTTATATATATATAATATTCATGCAGTTAACCTCTGAATATGTGCAGAGTAGATGAAAATTAGATCTGTACGTTTAGGCCCAATCTTTATTGGTCCTACCATCATTTTTTGACCTTTTCCGAGGGCGGATCGGATCAACTGATGGTTTGGGTTACTGTAGTCGTTTCTTAAACATACTGCTTTTCCACATGAGCTCAAAACTGGATTTCGTACTAGTTCACCAACGAGGTCTTTTTTCCCGCTTCTGCAGCAGTTGTTTGCTACCTCCACATGTTGTTTTCCAACAGATTTCCCAGTTTCCATCAAGTCCCCAAAGCATCCGAAATCCATCGTTTTGGGGGCTACCATTTCTCGCTTCCATTTACCTTCCAGTAGATTGACACAGATATGGAACTCCCGGCATGTGTAGATCACTGTAGATCAGTTTTCCGAACGGGGTCAGAGCCTGATTGTTTTCCATATGGTGAACATTTATCGAATATTTATAGCAGCCCCCAAAGAGATGTAACAATGATAATTTATCATCAATTTCATCCAGAGTCATCCAAATTCTACCTTAACTTGGTGATTTGACCATGTCTAATCCCTAGATTCTTAGATCATTTGGGTGATCCCTTAGGCAGATCACCCAAGAGGGTCGCTACTTCGAGATCCTCATAGAAGAGACAGTCCCGGGCTGGGTGGGTGGCCTGGGGCTTGGCGTGGCGCAGAGCCCGCTGAAGAGCCTCACCAGTTGTGCCATGCGACGCTTGCCGGACAAGGCCTGGCGCATTCCCAAGACCTCCGTCGTGGGTCGCTTGGAGACCCGATTTTTCGGGATTTTTTCGGTGTTTTTCAGGGGTGAATTCGGAGAATGTGGGTAGTACTATTTTTTGGACAGGACGTTATTTATTTATTTCTTTATTTCTTTATTCATATATATATATATACACGTTTTTGGGGGATATTCGGAGATTTCTTGGAGTTTTTTTTTTTTATATGTTCGATTATTTGGGAAACCAGTTTGTTGGAAAAAGAGAGGGACGGATGCACAGATGAATGAGATAGATATATGATGACTAGTATCAGATAGTATCAGTATAATCAATGGATTGGTTTAAGGGAAAATCTACAGGAAACCATAGATTTTCCCATTAAATATGGGGCTTTCCTGGTTTCCTGTAGATTTTCCCTTAAACCAATCCATTGATATAATGATTTATGCCCGTGCAATTCTATGCATATGTTGTAGCAATCGATGATTATGGACGTCTGACATCTTGATTTCATGGCTCCAACTTTGGGAGACCAACCGGACGCGACTAGGCTACTGGGGTTGCGTCTTCTTGAACGGCAGCGAGTACCGCACATCATGGCATGCAGATAGCTTACGAGATGGGGAGAAAGTGGGATTCCTTGTGACCAATGCCGGAGATATCCTTGTCTTTGTGGACGGTGAAGCAGTGGTTCACATTGAAAGAACCTCGGCGAGTCGGTAAGACCGGTAGCAGGATAAACCATCCCTTTGAAGAGGCATCAGTTTTTATTTTGTGTGTGTGTGTTTTTATGCTTAAAGTGACTTCAGAATCAACAGCCTGCAGTCAACGCTCAGCATAGTTATACAAACCAGGAGCCATTTCTCAAGAGGATCTGCGAGAACCCATGCATCCCATCGTCGACGTCTTTGCCGCCACTCGTGTGGTGTCTCTCTCACCTAGTGCATCGCCGCCGCCCCGGCCGTGGGTTGTGACGCCCGCACAATTCCTATGACTGTAATTTGTGCCTGCACCACAAAAGCATTGTCACCGCTGCGCCGAAAAAACACGACGCATGGGAATCTAAGGGATGCCATGTGATGTTGTTTGGATGAAGCGGCTTGTCGGTGGAAACCTCCAACGATCGAAGTCGTCCCCCATCCCGAAGTGGACCCTCAACTGTTGGAAGACCCTGCGTTGAGGATAACCCCAGGTCAATGTGAAGAGAGAGCCATGCCTTCTTGGTCACATGGCCCAATCATATCCAATAATGATCAATATACGCATATATATATACGCATATATATTAGCAGAGAGAGAGAGAGAGTGAGAGTGGTCGAAAATCTCAATATATCTCAAGTCTCTTTTGTGATGTATTGCGTGGGTATCCTACTGTTATTCATTCCACATCAATCATACAATAACAATAATAACAATAATAACAATGATAACAATGATAATAATAACAACAATATACAATAATAATAGCAATAATAATTAGTAATAATACTACTACTAATTTTACTAGTAATAATGATATATATATATATGTATATCGAGATCTATATCTACATCCACATCTACGTCTATATCTAGATATCTATATTATATCTATATGGCTGAATCTATTTGGATATGAGAAATCCTGGGCAGGTGCATCTTGGAGCTGGCCCCTGAAGACTTGGACGCTGCCCTGGCTGCAGCTCTGGCGTGGCTTCGCCAGCAACTACCAGGCATTCAGCGATGGGGCAGTTGGGATGGAAGTTTTATTCATATAGGAATATATTTATATGGGTTTAATGGTTCATAATTATAGTAGTTAGGTGATGTTAGGTGGACAGAAATCTGGGAATGGACATCTCCATACATCTACGGTTTGGTCTTGTTGGACTATCTGGGTATGTCTGGGTATATCTGGGTCATTTAAGGGACATGGAAACTGGCGAAATGACGTTCATAAAGGTGTCGAATAGTTTTGGATCATTTTGGAAGATTTTGGCGATGTTTTCGGCATGTTTCCTTCTCTATTTTGCACTGATCTGGGAAGCCGGCAACCCATCTGCCTAACGGAGGTGCGTTGCTTGGCGGGCGCCGCGTTTGGTTGGGCTTTTCTGGAGAAGGAGGTGCGATTGATTTCTACAAGACCAGGGGCCCTGTTGGATTGGTGATGAATGGGGATTTTATACATATGTATATATATATCCATATATTGGGATTCACCTGTGTTTTTTTTTTGGGCTTTTCCACCCGGAGCCTCACCGATCCGCTCTCTGCCGTTGCAGGTCGATCATCGGCTGGAAGCTGCCAAACAGGCACCTAGGGAACTGTGGGTGTGACTCAATGGACATTGACGTGGCATGAAAAGGGAACACTAGGGCTAGGGCGAAATGACAACCGCAACCCCAAGATAATCACAAGCTCAAATAGGTTGTGGCAGTCTCAATGTTCCTGCGTCGAAGCCAACACTGCTTGGTGACTTGCAGAGGGCATGAAAATCAGTGAAAATCAGTGAAAATCAGCACCCCCGGGAAAGCGACGCCGCCACCTCTGAATTCACTGCTTGAGGTGTTGGAACAGTTCGATGCTGTCCTTGTGGTGGGCCATGGTCCTGTGGCGAGTTCCTTGGTGCAGATCAGTCTCGACCGCCACAAGGACGCTTAGAAACAGCAAAAAACACAGGGACCTTGTTTAGAGCCCAGCAAACGCTTCCCGGAAGGTTTCCTTGAAACTCTCCATATCGTTGGTGGCTACTCTCTATATGGCTACAAATCATCCTCTCACCCTCTAAATTGGATGTTTGGATGCTTTCAGAACTGCTTTCAAATCTGAAGAAACATGAATAGCAACAAGTAACAAACCATTTGCAGATCCTAGATTCATAGCCAGAATGAAAAGTACAGATGTATTGCTTTGACAGGCACCTAGGCTGCCTAGGCTGGTGGCAGCCCTGGAGCACCGAGGCTGGCAGACAGAGCTCCTCTCCGAGCTGCTTCCAACGGCGCTGCGGCGTCCTGCCGAGATGCCTCAGGTCACGCACATGCGAGGCGGGCCGTTGGAGGATGTTGGATCTCTTCAATCTGGATGCCTTCGGAGCATGGATAGACACTTATATAATCTTATATATAGCCACTGGAGATGGAGGTTTCTTAGGGTTTCTATGGGTTTCTTCACATTTCTTATAGATTTGATGTAGATTTGATGTAGATGGGCTGCCATATGCTGCAGAATGTCCGCTTCAGTGCCCCCGATAGATCTACCCGGCGAATCTCCAACGAAGAGCTTCGCTGCTTTGGCCGCAATTCATTTAGGCCGCATTTTTGCCAACCTCCAGCCCCACAGTGAGAGCCAGTGATGGCTTCCAACACCCAAACACTTGCTTCATATCCATCAAATCAGACGGTATCATTTGAAATCATTTGTGAAGGATGGGCTTTGGAAAAACTGTTTTAAAATCTAAAAGCCAATTTTTTTTGGTGGCGATGATCCAAGTGCTTCAGCCCTGTACTGTCAAGGCCTTCTTTGATTATCCTTGGCTGCCGGGTGAGCTGGAGGCCTTACAGTGGGCCAATCGTGCCGAGCCTCGGCTGCGATTTCTGGTAATTCTGGTAGGCTATGGTAGGCTATAGATAGGAAACAAACCCACTGACACAACATGACATAACATTGTTTGGGGGCTCTTGAGGTCGCAGCATGATTTTGGCCAATGAAGTCAGGTGGTTTCAGTGGGTTTTTTGCAGCATCTTGCGCAGGACGCCCTGCTGGTGGAGCAACCTGGCTGCATTGATCAGATGGCTGCTGGTGAAAGTGTGGGAAAGCGGGGCACCAAAATAAACCCGCCAAAATTGACATGAACTTGGAGATTATACGATAGATATATATGATATGCACATATAGCACTAATAACAATGGTAACAATGATAGTACCGATAACAATAACAATGCAAATAACTTTAATTATATAATATATAAATATAAAATAATAATGATAATGATAATAATAATGATAATGATAATGATAATAATGATAATAATGATAATAATGATAATAATAGTGATAATAATAATGATAATAATGACAATAATACTGATAATAATCATGGTAATAATAATGATAATAATGATAATAATCATAAGATAATAATAATAATGATAGTAATAATAATGATGCACCACCACCACCACCACCACCAACAACAACAACAACAGCTACAGCTACAGCTACAGCTACAACTACAACTAGAACAACAACAACAGCAACAACAACAACAACAACTACTACTACTACTGCTGCTACTGCTACTACTACTACTACTACGACTACGACTACGACTACGACTACGACTACGACTACGACTACGACTACGACTACGACGCCTACTACTAGCAATTAATCATAACGAAGACAATTATCAATGCATCTCGAAGACAATTATCAATGCATCTCAGCACTATCAACACATGTCAAGATATCATCCACCAAGGCATGCCTCTCACCTTCAGCGCCTGGATTGGGAGATGCTGCTGAAAGGATGTGCTTATTAGGAACCGTTGTTCTCAGATTTGGAGGAGAAACTACGAGAAAACCCCATTTTGTTGGTTGGAAAACATAAGAAATACCCATGGTTTCCTGAAAAAACTTTCGGTGAGACCAACCCACTGACTTCTGAGACATCTTGGGGTACATGAAACATCGTGGATGTGAAACAGATTCAAACATGAAGAACTTCGGCTGAAAAGTCCTGGTATTTGCTCGAGTTGAAGCCGTGACCGTCCACAGAATCCCATCGGTTGACCTGCTTCATATCTGGGTCATAGCAGATGTGTCGATAGCACCAGAAACATGCTTTCCATGAACGTCATGAACAAGTGCCCAAGCCACTGGTTTCTTTACCCTGCAGATTGCACTGGAACATCCGAGTTAAGCCTCATGGTGCATGAGCTGAACAGCGTACAGAAGTCCAAAGCAGCGACAATGTGCTGCAATTGGTCACTATCGTTTGTACGTGGCTCACATCATTTTATCCATCTTTATTAAATGTTCTTGTTATCGATTTCCTATCCTTTGGAACCAGCCTCATTGTCCAACTTTTTCCCGTTTTGCCCATATTTCATGTGTAAAACCAAAACCAACAATGGGTGGTCGTCATGCCAAAGCCATGGCAAGCGTTAATTCCAGAGCACAGCTGCTTGGATGGCATCTGAGTCCGGAGATGTCGATTTATCCACCGTGAAAAATAGGAACCAACCAATTGTAATCCATGGTTGTAATCTATGTCAATCATATATATATATAATATTATATATGCATTGATGATGGTAATTTCTGTGAAAGATGGTAGATTCCCCACGTCCTTTATCCTTCCCTTTTTGAGCCAACCGTGGGAATTTCCCACCTTTTTGAGCCGGGCTGTTTTGCTGATAGTTGACTGACCGGGCTCAACAAATGAAGCTCTGAAATAATCTCCAGATGGATGGGCACTTTTACTTTCTTCTACTGCCTTAACATAAATTAAAAAAGTAAAAGAATATACATCAGATATCACACACACACACACACATATATATATATATATGAACCCACTATGTCGAGATGTATTAACCAACTTCACAAACCATATCTCTCTCTGCAGGGTTTCCAAACTCGGCCATGTTGGATCATGTTGGATCGCTCGTGGTTTCGTTGGACCTTGGTTGAAGCGAGGCCTCTTTCCAAAGGCAGGGCCTGTCGAGGAGATCCTGACGAAACTCGGCAAGAACTGGGTAACCCAAAATACATGGTTTATAGTGGGAAAACATGTTAAAATGGATGATTTAGGGGACCTATTTCAGGAAACCTCCATTTAGTTTGAAGATTTTGAAGATGGTTGAAGTGGAATCCAAGACTGGTGGGATTGGAGGCTGGTGTCAGAAGGTGTTTGACGCGAGTATCTTGAGATACGAATCCTAATGATCAGCCTGGATCTTGCAGAGATGGGTCAACACATGTCAACACCGTCAGTGCATGGCAGAAAATAAACATATCAAAGGCAAAAGGAGACAACATATCACGATATATCAGGATTCTACGCCGAGAATATCAAGGCATCAGCAAGTGGCTTGCCACAGCGGGATCAGGAACACCGCCAAGATCCCCCCAAACTTTGAGCCCGCGGATGTGAAGTACCGGGACTTCGAAGGGGTGGAGAAGGAGCCGAGCAACTTGGTTCGGATGTAGGATGCTGGTGCAATCGGTGGAATCTCAATTTCTCAAGCAGCCGCCCTTTGTCTTTGTTGTCTTTGTTGTTGTCTTCTTTGTTGTTGTTGTTGTTGCTGGTACAAACAAAGACTGGGGCCCTCAAAACAAGCTACCCGAGCTTATTTTGGAATTTGCTTGGTGTTCCTTAAGCGCGTCCATGGAGTTTTCCACTGTTTTGAAAAAGAACTTTAGTGTTTGTTTGTACCTTGTTGTTGTTGTTGTTGTGGTGGTGGTGGTGGTCGTCGTCGTCGTCGTCGTTGTCGTCGTCGTTGTTCGTAATGAACGGGTTAGAACCAACAATTTCAAGATGGTCAAGATGGTTCATTAACATGCCCACATCCCAGCTGCAGGAAGAACTTCCGGAGAGGCTGCTGAGACAGCACGGCATTGAGCCAGAAAGATGCTAGGTGAGGTTTAATTAATTACTCTAAGTTGATTTTCTTTGGCTGGCTGCGCAAATCCCAATTAGTTTCTCATTTTTTCTCATTCATTGGTGATTTCCCAACAAGATACGTGGATTTCCCAGCCAAATGTATTGCCGGGGAGTATCATGCGAGTCTTGCAGTTGATGTTTGCTGTACCAGTCATTTGGCTTTGACAAGACACGCGGAAGTCTTCCGAGAGCATCAAGCATCTCCACATCCCCACTCCCGTTCCGAGTCATTGTTCCTTTCTGTCGGAAACATCGCCGTTCCGCCCCGTTCCAACACCTAAGAACAAGTTGCTTGGCGTTGCATCCCCATGGAGGACGCCGCAGTGATTCACCAGCACATTTAAATTTCCGTTTCTGGCAGGCAAATAAGCTCCCAAATGGTGAGCCTTGACCTGGTCTAACATAGGGTAGGTCAAGTCGGATGAGGAGAAAAGTCCCGTAGCTCCATTAGAATTGCTGCATATATTGGGCAGAGTTGCTCCAACCTAGAGGTAAACGATGGCCACCAGTCAGGAATGGACGGACATTTGTGAACATTTGTCAGGAAATGGAAATGGAAATGGTTGATGGTTTGATGATTCATATTTTCATATGATTTTCCCTGTTGATTCAGCCAGTTCTTCCCCAAACTTTGGGATCTCGCGCGTTGCGGCGTTGCGCTGTCAGGAGCTGAACCCCTCGGGCAGCGACATCGCCTCCCGCGCCGGCGCCGCGCCAGTGGGTCTGGCTATGTCGCCGTCGGGGCTGGTGTGGAGGAGCTGCTGCCCTGGGGCCCTGGGGCGCTGGGGCGCTTGGGGAGGGGGGAACATGGATGTCCTCCGCTAATCAAACGTGGCTTGCTGGAAAATCACCTGTTTAATTACTTATATACTTAGTGTGATGATTTCCCCGGCTCCATTTAGTGTGATTTTCCATTGCCATGTTTGATTACTGGAGGGTAGGATGTGATGTTTTTTGGGTGGAATGTGAACACTATTGGTGTTTATTGTTTCTTTTCTTGAAGAAGTCTTCACGTTGTTGTCTTCCCCTGCGTTAAATGCTAGGCTCCAAAACTCAACATGAGAGGGTCAAAAAAGTTGTAGATACTGAAGATGTGAGGAAAGATAGAAGGTGATAGAAGCAAGAGCAAGATTCCAGCATGAAAGATACTGAATTCTCCCTCAGCCTGGAGCTTCTCAGCTCAAGTTGACGTGTGGCGTGGCCATGTTGAGAAGGATCCCAGCGGAGCCCCCCACCTATGAGAACATCGAGGCAACCGACCCCGCTGCCGGACTATGTCATCCTCGTCATCCATGCAAAGATCCCTGGCTGCGAAATCGGTACCATTCGGGAATCAAACATGGCTGGATGAGAAATCCCGTATCATCATGTATAATCTTGTATAATAACTATAAAATTCTGTTTTAATGGGAGAATCATTGAAGTAAATGGGGACAAGAATGGATAACACAACATCACGGAACCAAGGACATGGCCAAGAAGATTCTGAAGGACCGGGCAGCCTTTGGTGTCCCAATGGATGTTCCATTCATAAAACGGGTGTGGCCTGTAGAGGTACTCACCTTTGCAGCTTCAGGACCCTGCCGGCATTCCCTACTGGGTGATCACTTCACAAGGAGGTATCAGCTTGGGGGCCAGCCGAGGACCCACATATTCCGAAAATACCCCAACAACATGCAGGACATTTTCTTTATCATTCTATATCCTCAAAGTCATCTCTTTGAACATTTCAGCCGCGTTGTGCTTGCCAGCCTCTCATAGCCTCACAGGGAAGCCGGATGAGGAGATGGATTCAGGGCCCGTGAGCCAAAATCAGGGGGTCCGAGACCTCAGTCCGAGCCGTTGCGTCCGTTGCGAGGGCCGGGGCAGATGACCTGTCCTTCGAGGGTGAATGACACGAACATCACGAACCCCTTGGCCACTTGAAGCCACTGAAGCTGATGTTTGGATCATATCTTTTGACTGGTTTTGACTCTTGAACATGTTTGGCCATTCAATCAGGGCAGGGATTTGAGTTGCCACAAGGTCATGATGAGCTGCCAGCCCAATGGACGAACGGAGCCTGTGGAGGGGTGGGCCAGGAATTTGGGCAACACCATCAATCATAAAAAACCCCCCACATTGATATTCTTGACCTTTTGGTAACATGGCAAAGGTAAATCCATCATTTATAGACTATAGATGATGTCCCACGAACAACAACATCTAGATCTAGATATCTATCTCTATCTCTATCTCTCTCTCTCTATAATTCTCTCTCTCTCTCTCTATCTACATATATATATAGGATTTTCAATTGCCATGCCTGATTATCAGAGGATTCATATTGACGTTTTTGATACACTGAATCTCAGGGTGCATACCTCAGTCATCCTTAGCCTTAGCCGCCAGGAGCGGTACCCCCACCCGCCCAAGCAGCCAGAGATGGAGATTTTTACACCGGGCCTTGGCGCAATTCCCAAGTTCCTCAAAGGTGCAGGTGCTTCGCTGTTGGGCCTGGCCTGTTGAAAAACCAATATGGGGATGGGTGAAAATGCAAGGCCGGACCACAGATTTGATATAATATATATATATATAGAGTCTATTTTAACTTTTTAACATTGACAGTCAATTATTGGGGTACCCAATTTGACCCATACCCTATGGAAAGCCGGCGCCAGGCGCTCAATTTCTGTGAGCCGCCTGTGGACCTTGTTGGGCTGTGAGACAAAAAGCTTGGGCAATGGAGGGTGTCATCATTTGATGAATCTGGCGTGTGGCACTGGGCGGGCCTGACGGGCCAGAGGTTTTAGATACCTTTTATCATCAGAATGGTTCAAGGGACGAGTTGAAGGCCCCTCTGTGATTAATTGTACTTAATACCACGAAGTTCATTTGGATGAAAGAGTGCAAAAATTCCTTTGAGTATTCTCTAGTGGTTTGAAGGATGTTGCCTGCCTTTTTTGGACAGTCCAGTCCGCTTCTCCCATTGCGCCGAGGTTTCGTGTGAGTGTCCAGCCATGGTCAGCAGGCTGGGAGAGCAAGCGTTGAGCCGTTTCTGACCGAATTTCGCTGAATGACTTGAGTGATACCTAATGACTGCACAAGGTGAGAGACCCCCCAGCCCCCAGTAAGATCTCTTTCAACGATGAAGGCTAATAATACAGCAAGACCCTGAGGTTTGCCCGGACTCGCAACGAGTGTCCGGGCATGATGATGATGATGATGATGATGATGATGATGACGATGATGACGATGACCACCAATATGCTCCGCATAAACAATGTATTTAACCCTTATTAAAGATCTTCAATGAATGGAAGAGTTTAACGGGGGTGGGAGAATTAAATCCTTATTGAAGATCTTCAATGAATGTAGAAGTTTAACGGGGGTGGGAAATTAAACCCTTATTGAAGATCTTCAATGAATGGAAGAGTTTAACGGGGGTGGGAGAATTAAACCCTTACTGAAGAATCTTCAATGAATGTAGAAGTCTAACCGGGGTGGGAGAATGAAACCCTTATTGAAGATCTTCAATAAATGTAAGAGTTTAACGGGGGTAGGAGAATTAAACCCTTATTGAAGATCTTCAATGAATGTAAGAGTTTAACCGGGGTGGAAGAATTAAACCCTTATTGAAGATCTTCAATGAATGGAAGAGTTTAACGGCGGTGGGAGAATTGAACCCTTATTGAAGATCTTCAATGAATGGAAGAGTTTAACGGGGGTGGGAGAATTAAACCCTTACTGAAGAATCTTCAATGAATGTAGAAGTTTAACGGGGGTGGGAAATTTAACCCTTATTGAAGATCTTCAATGAATGGAAGAGTTTAACGGGGGTGGGAGAATTAAACCCTTACTGAAGAATCTTCAATGAATGTAGAAGTCTAACCGGGGTGGGAGAATGAAACCCTTATTGAAGATCTTCAATAAATGTAAGAGTTTAACGGGGGTAGGAGAATTAAACCCTTATTGAAGATCTTCAATGAATGTAAGAGTTTAACCGGGGTGGAAGAATTAAACCGTTATTGAAGATCTTCAATGAATGGAAGAGTTTAACGGCGGTGGGAGAATTGAACCCTTATTAAAGATCTTCAATGAATGGAAGAGTTTAACGGGGGTGGGAAAGTTAACCCTGATTGAAGATCTTCAACGAAGGTAAGAGTTTAAGGGGGGTGGGGAAAATTTATATGATATGTATAGCGTGAACAAAAAATCCTTGTAATTTACGCTTTTCTGGGCTTGGGCAAACCTCAGGGTCTGTGTGTAATAATAATACATATATATATATATACGTATATAATCATAAGTATATAAGTTATATAAGTTATATAAGTTATATAAGTTATATAAGTTATATAAGTTATATAAACATCATTATATAAAGTGCATCCAGTAAGCAGGGTCGGTGAGTGTGGGGTGCGAGCTGGCAGGTAGCAAGATGCCTCAGAATACAGCACATGTGCCACTCGGACGCCCGAAGTCGGCTGTCGTTGGCCAGACCAGCTTCTCATTACACGTATGGATTCTTAATTGCCAGTGACAAGTCGAGTACTATTAGAGTCCCATGATTTCGTGATTAGGTATGATGTTCGCACTTAGAAAGTACATGAAAGTACTCTCTCTTGACTCCGGGCCACTTCGCAATCTCAAGCCAGTTCACTGAGAGGTTCTAAGAGGTTCTGATATCTGGAGATGGCTGCCTTCCTGATGAATCGGCCAAGTGTGTGGTGTCGTAAAAATCGCGGGATAGATAAATGGATCAATGGATAGATCGATAGATATCAATACATGTCACAATATAGCATAATCTATCAATATACCGATCTATCCATCCATCTATCATCCATCATTATCTAATCAATCAAATCGAGTCCACTCGCTAAATCTACTCTAATCTAAACTCATCGAATCTATTTATCTATCTATATGGGGATGGGTCAATACCTATAGATACATTTTTAGTGGGATGAACATCCATTTACCAGCTATTTTGGGGTTCACTAGGTACCAGGGTTTTGACCCATCCCCATTTAATCTATTTATCTATCTATATCTTTGTTGGCCTATAATATCTCTATGCTTTTTGGGGCTTCTGCTGGTGCCAACTTGGCACCCAACTCCTGACCCAGGATGCTGGCGGCAAGCACTCACATGGCACGAGCCCAAGGGAGATGCAGCCACAGTTGTGTGATATTATCTGATATTATATGGAAATTATACAGGTTATATGTATTATATATATATATATATTATAATAACCATGATATACACTGTATGATCACATGTTTATAGATTTTGGCTCCAAAACACATCTACATTTACATAGTATCTTCCAACAATATTGGGGACCTGCGGAGACATGTGGGCGCACGGATGAACATTTCGTGTGTATAGTTCAAGTACCACACTTCGTACTTCCACATTCGTTTCAGGATAATGTGTTCTGGATCGGATGAGTAGAACGAGTACACGAAGCACTTGCGTCTCCTTGAGCATGGATTCATGTATATGGGCGTGATTGCGTTGAATGGCACCTGCATTTGCACAATCAACGTGGTCAACCGAAGAATAAACCTCCAGGTGGCGATGATTTGATGCACCCATTTCTCTTAACATATCTTAACATTGGAGATGATTTATCATTACATATTGGGATTACATGAGATTACCACATTGCTAGACACAAAGAGATAGCGACATATGATGCTCCACTTTGCTCACTGCAGTTCCGCAGCGGCAAACAAAGGGTCAGTGGGACGCCCAGGGAACGGGGGCAATGGGATGAAACTAGGTGATGGATCCTGAGCTTAGGATGCAGTAGGAACTGTTCATATTTGATGGGAAAAACATGGAAAAACCATAGTTTCTGGTAAGAAAAACCATAGTTTCTGGATATTTGATGGGAAAAACCCATAGTTTCTGGTAATTTCCTGTAGAGATCATCTCACTTGGGAATCAGGACGCTCCGGCAGCCCCAACGAGACCCAGTGCGCAGGGACCACTCAGAGTTACCGCGCCTGCGGTTGGAGAAGGGTTGCTTTTTTTTGGGGCCATCGGTCAGATCCCTTTCGTTTAATTTGGAGTTTACACCCAAGTTAAATCTGGGCCCAACATGGCCCAACAAGTCCATGGTGACGCTGTGGGAGGCACACCCAAAGGTGAACCAAAGGGCAGCTGCATTCTGCCGTCGAGAAATCGAGGTGTATTCCCTGGAGCCCGACGAAAACAGGTCAAGATCTGTGGGGAGAGGGTTTACCCTCTGGTAAACTAACATAGCTATTGAAAATGGCCATTTATAGTGGGTTTTCCCATTAAAAATGGTGATTTTCCATAGTTATGTTAGTTTACCAGAGGGTAGCAGGAGGGATTTTGTGATCCTTTCATGTCCTTTCTGCAACGCTGGCGGCCAAGAAAATGTCTGGAGGCAGCCGTGTCAGGATGGACGTACCTTCGAGGCAAGATCATTGCATCCCAGAATGTGCTGAAGCGAACATGTGCAGTAAGACCCCCCCAAAAAGGTGAAATCTTTGTTCTGCTGTAACTGTACGTAAAATGTACCAAACCAATCCATTGATTTCAGGATGATTTCTTCTGTGAACCTGACATGGTTTCAAGATGTTCCAAGGTCCAGCAAAACAGCTACGACCCACACACGATACAAACAAATCAACCAAGATCAAGCGACACGCAGCCCTTCGCCCTCGGGATGTGACCAGGCAGATCTTTGTGCCGTTTTCGAATGCGTTGGGCTGGGGCACCTGGAAGACAAAGGCACTCAATGAAGATAATGAAGGAACGCTAGCAATCCACTGAGATGAGCAGTGGGAGGACCACTTCTATGAAACCCATAGTTATATGTATACATATGCAAAGATGCATAGATGCATAGATGCATAGATGCATAGATAGATAGATAGATAGATAGATAGATAGATTCGATATGTGTATATATATATGTATATCTTTTGGGGCTTTAGAATCTATACCTGGAATTGATAATTGGCAGCAACTGGTATGCGCTTGAAATATTCCGGCAGGGGAACGGCAGATGTGTTCCACAGAATCAGGGCATGATACAGACTTCATTTTGACCAGAAGTTGTCTCTACTCCAAGGAAAAAACGAGGAGGGAAGTCCCAGGTCCTAATGCGGTAGAATGTCAAGTCATATGGATGTTTTATAATGGACAATCCCATCTATCATTGGATTGGTATAAGGGAGAATCTACAGGAAACCATGGATTTCCCCATTAAATATGGGGTTTTCCTGTAAATGATCCCTTAAACCAATCCAATGAATCTAGAAATGGATGATTCGGGGGTACCCCCATGTCAGGAACCTCCATGATAGATCCTGGTGTGGCTGAACCTTGGTTTCCATGGGCCGTAGCGTGGCTGGGGCCTGTCCGACTAGGAACCGGCTGCTTTGTGGAGCCAAAGTGGAGGTTGGCTTTCACAGCGACTGGGAGGTTTTGAGATGGGAAAGTCATGAATAACATGAACAACTATATGATGGAAAAAAAACCATTTCTGCCCCAGATGGACATTGAAACCCGTTGAAACAAGTTGAAACACCTTTTCATAGATGTTCCTTACCTGATCACTTCAACATGATTCAACAAGTGTTCCGCAGCGCTGGTGAGGTGGAATATCCCAAGGGCATAGCCATCCGGGCCAGCACCGATGTGGCTTGGTCTATAAGCTAGCGGTGGTCCTTGTTGGGTCCTTCAGGG